ATTCTGTCTCCAAAAAAAAAAAAAAAAAAAAAAAAAAAAAATACTGAAAAGACAACCCACAGATACAGACTGGGAAAAAATATTTGGAAGTCACATATCAGATAAGAGACTTGTATCCAAGATATATAAAGAACTCTTACAACTTAAGAAAAAGGAGAGAAAGCCCAATTTAAAAATGGAGAAAGGATTTGACTAGATATTTCAAATGGCCAATATACACATGAAAAGACGATTAACATCATCAGTCATTAGGGAAATAAAGTCTCTACCACAATGAAATACTATTTTATTCCTACTAGGATAGGTCGAATAAAAGTAGACAATTAGTGTTGGGATGTGAAGAAATTAGAATCCTCATATGCTACATGTGAGAATGTAAAATGGGTTAGCCACTTTGGAAAACAGTTTGACAGGTCCTCAAAACGTTAAACATGAAGTTTCCAAATGACACAGCAATTCTACTCCTATATATGCCCAGAAAACTGAAAACACATGTCCACACAAAAACTTGTAAACAAATGCTGTTTATTGTTGTAAACATTATACATAATGGTCAAAAAGTGGGAAAACACAAATATCTATCAACTGATGAATGAACAAAACATGATACGTCCGTACAAGGCAATATTTATTCAGCTATAAAAAGGAATGAAGTACAGGATCCTGCTACAACATGGATGAGCCTTGAAAATATGTTAAGTGAAGGCTGGGCATGGTGGCTCATGCCTGTAATCCCAGCACTTTGGGAAGCCGAGGCAGGTGGATCATTTGAGGTGAAGAGTTCGAGACCAGCCTGACCAACACAGTGAAACCCCATCTCTACTAAAAATACAAAAAATTAGCTGGGTGTGATGGTGGGCACCTGTAGTCCCAGCTACTCAGGAGGCCGAGGCAAGAGAATTGCTTGAACCCGGGAGGTGGAGGTTGTAGCAAGCTGAGATTGTGCCATTGTACTTCAGCCTGGACAACAAGAGCAAACCCCAATCTAACAAACAAAAAAAAAAAAAAAAAAAGGAAAAAATATGTTAAGTGAATGAAGGCAGACACAAAAGGCTACATAATGTATGATTCCATTTATAAGAAATTTTCAGACTAGACAAATCCATAGAGACTGGAAGTAAATTAGTGGTTACCAGGGGATGCGGTAAGGAGAATGAGGAGTGACTGCTAGTGGGTATGGGATTTCTTTTCAGAATTATGAAAATATTCAGGAGACTGGGCACGGTGGCTCATGCCTGTAATCTCAGCACTTTGGGAGGCTGAGGCGGGTGGATTACGAGGTCAGGAGTTCGAGACCAGCCTGACCAACATGGTGAAACCCTGTCTTTACTAAAAATACAAAAATTAACTGGGTGTGGTGGCGCACACCTGTAATCTCAGCTACTCAGGAGGCTGAGGCAGGAGAACTGCTTGAACCCAGGAGGCAGAGGTTGCAGTGAGCCAAAATTATGCTACTGCACTCCAGCCTGGGTGATAGAGCGAGACTCCATCTCAAAAAAAAAAAAAGAAAATATTCAGGAATTAGATAGCGGTGATTGTTGCTAATGACTACTAATGGGTATAAGGTTTCTTTTGATGAAGATGTCCTAAAATTAGATTATGATGATGGCTGCACAATTCTGTAAGTATACTAAAAACTACTGATTGTGACTGACTGAGACAGAGTCAGCCTCTGTCACCCAGACTGGAGTGCAATGGGGTGATCATAGGTCACTGCAGTCTCCAACTCCTGGGCTCAAGTGATCCTCCTGCCTTGGCTCCCAAAGTGCTGGGACAACGGGTATGAACCACTGTGCCTGGCCTGTGCTCTTTAAATGAGTAAACTTTATGGTATGTAAATTTTATCTTAATGCTGTTTAAAGGTAAAAGAGTAAGGGAGTGTAGAGTTACCAGTTTCAATGTACATTTAACAGGAGTTTAATGTAAGGAAAATGGAGATAATGATGGGAAAATAACAGTTAAAAAGAAAGCAGGAGGCTGGGCATGGTGACTCATGCCTGTAATCTCTGCACTTTGGGAGGCTGAGGCAGGCGGATCACCTGAGGTCAGGAGTTCCAGACCAGCCTGGCCAACATGGTGAAACCCCGTCTCTACTAAAAATACAAAAAATTAGCTGGGTATGGTGGCATGTGCCTGTAATCCCAGCTATTCAGGAAGTTGAGGCAGGAGAATCACTTGAACCCGGGAGGCAGAGGTTGCAATGAGCTGAGGTCGCACCACTGCACTCCAGCCTGGGCAACATGAGTGAAATTCTATCTCAAAAAACAAAAACAAAAACAAAAACAAAACACAATCAAACAAAAAGAAAGTAGGTGTTCTGAGAATTTCTAGAATTGAAAAAAACACAAATCCTCACTGCTGTAGACTGAATGTTTATGTCTACCACAAAATTCATTAATCGAAGCCCCAAGGTGATGATATTTGGAAGTGGGGCCCTAGGGAGTGATTAGGTCATGAGAATGGGGCCTTTATGAAAGGGATTCGTGTCCTTATAAAAGAGGCTTCACAGAGCTCTTTCCCTCTTTATCCACCCTGTGAGGGTGTGGTGAGAAGACAGTTTCTGGTTTCTGGCAACCAGGAAGCAGCCCTCACCAGACACCTATCTGCCAGTGCCTTGATCTTGGACTTCCCAGCCTCCAGAACTGTGAGAAACAAATCTGGTCGTCTGAGCCAGTCAGTTAATGGAATTCTGTTATAGCAACATGAATTGACTAGACACTGAGAAAGTCTCTCTCTTTACAAAGCAGGACAAATAAACAAAAATCCACTACTAGAAACATCATGGTAAACTTTAAAACATCAGGAATTGACAGATAATTTAAGAAACTACCAGAGAAAAAAGTTTCCTACAAAAGAATGATAATTAGGCCAACAACCACACTTCTCTTCAGCAACAACAGATCCCAGAAGAAAACAGATAATATCTTCCTCTGAGATAAGACTCAGAGAGCTTATCTCTCACAGACCGTTGCAAAAAAATTATTAACGCATATTTTACCAAGAAAAGTAGATCCCCAAGGGAAGTGTGGAATACAAGAAACAATAGTAAATCTAGAATTCGATAAAATATGTCAGTAAATTTAATAGTACTGTCTGCAAAAATGGGTCTTAGGCTGGGTACAGTGGCTCATGCCTGTAATCCCAGCACTTTGTGAGGCTGAGGCAGACGGATCACTTGAGGTCAGGAGTTTGAGACCATCCTGGGCAACACAGTGAAACCTTGTCTCTATGAAAAATAAAAAATTAGCTGGACTTTGTGGTACATGCCTGTATTCCCAGCTCTTTAGGAGGTTGAGGTGGGAGGATCACTTGGTGGGAGGATCACTTGAGCTCAGGAGGTGGAGACAGCAGTGAGCTGTGGTCATACCACCACAGTTAGCCTGGGCAACAGAGTGAGACCCCAGAAAAAAAAAAATGGAGCTTGAGTACTTGTGTACTTAAGTACTTGACTGAATGCAGGAATCTTTTGAAAGTGATTAGAAAAGTTAGATGAACATTATGTAGCCAGGGAGGGTTACTGTAACAGGACACTAAATGGAATGTTTCCTGTCATATCAGGGTTTCCAAAGTCTCTGAGTCTCCAAAGGCAAGGACCGTGAGTGATGTGTGCCCACATATTCTAAAGAGAGCTTCTGACACTTCTATGTAAAACTTAGTAGGAGAATTAATGGAAATCACATACTGATAATCTTGAGAATATTTTAGAGATAAAGAGATTTCACAGAAGGAAATTTGTAGTAGAGAACGCCCAGTAGCATGTCTATTCCTTTCTCTCCCACCATCTATTGGAGACAGAAGAGATCCTGGGGGAGCATGCCAGAAGAGATGACCACAGTCCTCAGATGAGTATTTGCTCATAGACTCTTGGAAAGAAAATTATTAAAGTATATTTTACCGAGAAAAGTAGACCCCAAGGGTAAGTATAGAATACAAGAAACAATAGTGAATCTAGAATTCGATAAAATACGGTAAAATATATCAGTAAAAATGTCAGGTGGGGTGGTTCATGCCTATAACCACACCTACTTGAGAGGCTTGAGGCCAGGAGTTCAAGACCAGCCTGGACAGCATAGTGAGACTCCAATTCCAAACACATTTTTAAAAAAGAAGGAAACTCAGGCACCAGCCCTGTCCTGGTCCTGATGATGCAGAAGACTCCTGGGGAGAACCTGGCAGAGTCTGAGAGGTACAGAGACTGCAGCTTCCCTCGGGACTGCCTGAGACTGAATGGGAAGGGCTGGTTGGAACAGCCAGGTCGAGGAAAAAGGGAAGCAACCAGCAGCGTGAATGGGTGAGTTTTTCCATGGGAGACATGGAAGGGGGCCAAGCTTGAATCTTCTTGAAGGATCCTGTGCAAAACTGTTGGATTGGGGAGGAGGACCCTAGGGCTGTATGACTGGTACCAAAGCTGAAGAGGTCAGGCAGGAGTGGGGAGATCCCTGTAGGGGGAAGACTGGTCTGAATTCCCACTGACCGACACCACCTCTGTCTTTAGCAGTGCTGCATCCATGGCAGCAGAGCTTGGAAAGGGGAGAAAGCAGAGAGGAACCGGAAGGGCTCTCCTCCTCTCCCCTGCCACGGTTGGTCTGCCCGACCTCTGGAGAAGCCAAAGCGGGGTGAGGGGAAACTGAAATGGAAGGCACTAAAGTTTGATTTCAAGGGGACTGACCTTTTGTTTTGTTTTGTTTTTGAGACAGAGTCACGCTCCATTGCCCAGGCTGGACGTGCAGTGGCGCGATCTCGGCTCACTGCAAGCTCCGCCTCCCAGGTTCAAGAGATTCTCCTGCCTTAGCCTCCCGAGTAGCTGGGATTACAGGTGTGCATCACCATACCCAGCTAATTTTTGTATTTTTAGTAGAGACAGAGTTTCACCATGTTGGCCAGGCTAGTCTCAAACTCCTGACCTCAGGTGATCCCTCCCAAAGTGCTGGAATTACAGGCATGAGCCACCACGCCTGGCCGGGACTAAACATTAAAAAACAATTTGTTGCTTCTTTTTTCTTTTTATGGAATGCTTCACGAATTTGCACGTCATCCTTGCGCAGGGGTCATGCTAATTTCTCTATATTGTTCCAGTTTTAGTACATGTGCTGCCAAAGTGAGCACTGAATTTTTTTAACGCCTGAAAATGAGACTGTTCTAATACGGACATTGACCTGAAAAACTCTAGAATCTGCACGAGATAAGAGTTGAAGGGAGAGGCCGGGCGCGGTGGCTCAAGCCTGTAATCCCAGCACTTTGGGAGGCCCAGACGGGTGGATCACAAGGTCAGGAGATCGAGACCATCCTGGCTAACACGGTGAAACCCCGTCTCTACTAAAAAATACAAAAAACTAGCCGGGCGAGGTGGCGGCGCCTGTAATCCCAGCTACTCGGAGGCTGAGGCAGGAGAATGGCGTAAACCCGGGAGGCGGAGCTTGCAGTGAGCTGAGATCCGGCCACTGCACTCCAGCCTGGGCGACAGAGCAAGACTCTGTCTCCAAAAAAAAAAAAAAAAAGAGTTGAAGGGAGAGGAGGGGAAAACCGATACTGTTTGAATGTGGTGATAGGAGAAGAAATTCACTGCCTGTTTACATTCAGTTCAGTCCGGCTTGTTAAATTAGTGAACTACATAAAGAAACTAAGATTATCTCGTGCACAAGAATGGATAAGAGGTGACAGCAAATATCACAAATTACAGTCTGGGGGCAGGGACATGAAGGGAGATCTGTACGGGATAAGATCAAAAATAGGAAGAGAAAGAAGGAGAGAATAGGGGAATCCACAGTGGACCCAAAATACCAAGGCTGAGAACCTAAAATTGGATTGGCATGAAAGAACTAAGAAGAGCCTATATAGCAAGACTCCATCTCTACAAATATTTAAAAATTAGCCAGATGTGGTGGTGCATGCCTATAGTACTAGTTACTCAGTAGGCTGAGGCAGGAGGATCACTTGAGCCCAGGAGTTTGAGGCTGCAGTGAGCCATGACGGAGCCACTGTACTCCAGCCTGGGTGACAGAGCAGGACCCTGTTTCAAAAAAAAAAAAAAAAAAAAAGAAGGGAGGAAAAGGAAAAAAGAGAAAAGAAAAAGAAGGAAAAGAAAAAAAAGAGAAAGAAAAAGGAAAATATAGCCAAGGTCAGAAGTTATGATGCCAGAGCCCAGTGAGTGATCAAAGTAGCCACATCCACACACCTTTTATTAGAAACCTCACTTTCTACGTAAGAATAAACTTTAACATCTGAATTAGTTTCCTAGAGCTGCTGTAACAAATTACCACAAACCGGATGGCTTAAAACAACGGAAATTCATTCTTGCAGAGTTCTGGAGGCTAAAAGTTCAAAACCAAACCGTCAGCAGGGCCAGACACCTGCCTCTGAAGGTTCTAGGGGAGGATTCTTCCTCGCCTCTTCTGGCAACCTGTGTGGCAACAGAAACCCAATCTCTGCCTTCTTTGCCACTTGCCCTTCTTCCCTCTATGTCTGCCTGGGTCTTTGAAGCTCTCCCTCCTTATAAGGTCACCAGTCATTGGATTTCAGGCCCACCTTCATCCAGTTTGGCCTCATCTTCACTTGGTTAGCCAGATGTGGTGTATGCAAAGACCCTGTTTCCAAATAAGGTGATATTCACAGGCATCACGGTTAGAACTTCAACATATATTCTGGGGGGACACAATTCAACCCATAGCAATGTCTAATGTGGAGTGAGGAATAGGAGCTCCCGTGAAGCCACTTTCATGCTTCTGTCCAGAACTGTCAAGTGCATTGGGTGACTGGGCACTTTAATCTGCAGCTGAGTTGACTAACTCAGCTGTGATAATTTATTAATATTTTTAGGTCGGGCATGGTGGTTTATGTCTGTAATCCCAGCACTTTGGGAGCCCGAGGCGGGTGGATCATCTGAGGTCAGGAGTTTGATACCAGCCTGACCAACATGGAGAAACCCCATCTCTACCAAAAATACAAAAATTAGCCAGGTGTGGTGGCAGGTGCCTGTAATCCCAGCTACTTGGGAGGCTGAGGCAGGAGAACTGCTTGAACCCTGAAGGTGGAAGTGGCAGTGAGCTGAGATCGCGCCACTGCACTCCAGCCTGGGAGACAAGAGCAAAACTCCGTCCCCAAAAAAACAAACAAAAAATATATATACATGTATACATATATATATACTTTTAAAAGTCATGTTAAAATATGAGAATAGCACCTGCACATGATAAGAAAAACCATACAACACTGAAGGGTTTATAGTGACAGCTGTGTCCTAGAGGAAAGCACCATCATTTGTTTTTCTGTATGCCTTTCCAGATATCTATACATAGGCACTTTTAAGAAAAAGGAAGCAGGGTATACCACTGTTCTGTGCCTCTCTTTCTTTACCTCACAAGGTAGCTTGGGGCTCTTTCCACATTAGCACATGTGGATCTACTGATAACACAGGTATGAATTAGGTTTTCTCCAGCTTCTAACAGTCCCAACAGTTCAGTATCTGAGAAATGGCAAAGGCACAACCCAAATGCTTTGATTATATAGTAACGATTTGCTTGTACAGTGTTTGAGTATATCAAGATCATTTATTCAATAAATGCAAACAGATGTAGGAAAGGAGACAATCTATGAGAATCTAACAACATGGTAAGGAGTTTTCTTATTCTTTCCCAGGTAGTATCAGCCCTCACTCCAAAGCTAAGCATAGGCAAAGGGCAGAACTTCTGTGCTTAGCAGACTAGGTGGTAAGAAAAGGTCTGTTGAGGCCGGGCACAGTGGCTCATGCCTATAATCCCAGCAGACATTGGGAGGCCTAGGCAGGTGGATCACCTGAGGTCAGGAGTTCGAGACCAGTCTGGCCAACATGGTGAAACCCCGTCTCTACTAAAAATACAAAAATTAGCTGGGTGTGGTGGCATGTGCCTGTAGTCCCAGCTACTTGGGAGGCTGAGGCAGGAGAATCACTTGAACCCAGGAGGCGGAGGTTGCAGTGAACTGAGTTTGTACCACTGCACTCCAGTCTGGGCAACAGAGCAAGACTCCACCTCAAAAAACAAGTATATCAATTGCAGTGCATTGAAACACATAAAATTGTGAAAAACTATGAATTCATAATGGTACTAAAAAAACTCACTGACTACATTTAGACAGTGATAGGGAACAATTTTGAAAACTGATAAATAAGGGGAAGGAATCAAGGTTTTATCCTACTTTTCCTATACAAATCATACTTCAGGGTAACCTAATAGTTGATACTTTTTTTTTTTAAACATTTTACTCACTAATAAATGAAAAAATAATAGATGAAGAAACCACGTATACAAACACACACATGCACACTACATATATATATATACACACACATACACACAAATAAAATCACCTATGAAAAAATGTTCAGTTTTATCACAAGTAAATTTAGAAAAATATTGCTATTCTCAATGAAGTATCAGAATAGACAGACGAACAGTAGCTGGAAGCCAGTGGGATGAATTCATTTGAGAGAATGTAACTAATGAAAGATTTCATAAATACTGAAGATGCAAAATTGAAGCTAAATGTGATTCAAGAATAAATATTAAAATTTATGTGGCAGGAAATCATGTAAAACAAAGAGATGCAAATTAAAACCAGGTATCTTTTTTTGATATTTTTACCTATAAAATTGGCAAAAAAAAAAAAAAAAAAAAAAAAATTCAAGATAATTGTATCCACTGTGAGGACTGGGGAAATTGGCTAAATCTCAACTCCATTGTTGACTAGCTGCATGAGCCTGGGGAAGTTATTCCATCTCTTTGAGCCTCGGTTCCTTCATCAATAGAACTGGGATACTGAGTATCCTGGAGCTGAAGATTAAATGAGGCGATACCAGTGAAGCACTTCAATTGTGCTTGCAACACATAGCACTCAGTAAGTGTTTGCTATGTGGTTATTCCTATGCATACAGTTTTGTGATTTATGTTCCTATTATGAATAGGATCTCCCTTCATTAATTTTCCTTTTTTTGGCCATCCTTCTCCAGTTTAAATATTCTTATTTTTCTGCCTTTTAAAACAAAGCTGGAAAATTTCCATCTTTTTATTTTTATGTATTTTTTGAGACAGAGTCTCACTCCATCACCCAAGCTGGAGTACAGTGGCCCAATCTCGGCTCATTGCAACTTCCACCTCCCGGGTTCCAGCGATTCTCATGCCTCAGTCTCCCGAGTAGCTGGGATTACAGGCACGCACCACCATGCCCAGCTAATTTTTTTTGTATTTTTAGTAGAGATAGAGTTTCACCATGTTATGTTGGCCAGGCTGGTCTTGAACTCCTGACCTTACGTGATCCGCCCACCTCAGCCTCCCAAAGTGCTGGGATTACAGGCAATGAGCCACCGTGCCTGGCCAGGGCCTGATGCCTTTCTTAGGGACAAATCTCATAACACCTTTTTGATTTTTTCTATGTAGTTTAGGATCTTCTACTACCATATGACTCAATATTTTAAATTTAAATTTTTTCAGAAAAGTATCTATCTTACCTAAGATTTTCAAATACATTGGCATTAAACTTGTACCTGTTATTTGGTTTCTGTGTAAAAAAGTCTTGATCCGGTTATGCACCACAACTCATTTCTGATGGTTTGGGCTTTTCTATCCTCTTATCTGAATCAGATTTGCCAAAGGTTAGTCTGTAGTTCTGTTTTCCAAAGAATTGGCTTTAGGCTTTATGGATCAATTTTGCTTTCTGTTAACTGTAAATTTCATTAATTTCTGCTTTTATTTTCATTATTCTTTATCCACTTTTTAAAAAATGACTTCGTTTTCTCCTGGCCTCTCACACTAAAGTTTTAGTTCATTTGCATTCTGTCACTGCTGGTTTTTAATAAATGGGTTTAAAAGTATAGATTTTTATCCAATTACTGCTTTGATCATATACACTGAGTTTTGCTATATAGCACTATTTTTATTTCCAAATACCTCAGATCTAATTGCTGCTCAGATTTTTTATCCACAGCCTTTTAGAAGTTTATTTTTAATTTCTTGACTAGCCTGACTAGTTTGTATGTTTCTTTACATTTTGATCAGAAAATGTGGCCTGTATGATTTTAACATTTTTAAATATATTATTATTTTGTAGATTGATTTGATAGTTTTGCCTTTTCC